GGTTGATGGCCAAAAGAGAAACAGTTACTATTTACATTCACTCTGAGCCAGGCGGGCCCAAAAAATAACCGTCATTGGTGCTTGGGCAGGGACTTTATACCACCTAATAGCTTTGGGGGCCTAAACAAGTCGCTTAATCTGTTTGGGTCTCCATGTCTTATCTGGAGTGGATTATATGATTTCTAGGGTCCCTTCCAGCTCTAAGTTTATGATCCTGTAAACTGATTGGTAAATTGGGGTATGCTTGTACTAAATATTGGTCTTGACACTTCCATCCATTTGTGGTAGGAAACTTCTCTTGATTATTTTCCTGATGGTAAAATGAACTATTTATGTTTATGAAACTTTAAGATATTTGAATGAATATTTTTTGGGCACAAAGGTTTTTTTTGTCAGAATTAAGGTATGACTTTCAGATTTTATACCATTCTCATTCTTAATTGCAATTCATATGGAATTGTAACGGTTTATGTTGATGACTTTGTTATTAGTTCCAGGGCAAAAAGGCCGTTCTATAGCTTTAAGTCCTCTGTGGAATGCTTCATCTCCCTTATCTTGAGTGTTTTAAAGTTTAAATTCATTTTAGGAATTCTTTTTCTCTTTTCATCCACGCTATTCATCAGCCTGAGTATTTTTATATAAGTATTTGAGAAATATAATACCTGTGTATAAACTAGTTCCTTCCTATCTGTAACATAGTTAAAGGCAGTTTACCTAGCAAGAGGAGCTGTGGTATTTTTATGTGAGTGATTTCTAAAGCTAAGTGCCCTGTGTCTGTTGATAATATTAAACTCTGATCTCTCTAGTTATACCCACCTCCCTTGATCTACTCTAACCATGCGGACTGTTGGTAGTAGATAACATTTTCTGTTTTCTGCTTAGCAGCCTTTTTTTGTACCTAGGCAATTGCATGTGTTCCATTTGGCAAACATGCCTTTTGCTGTTGTTTATTAATTGCTCACAATATGCTAGTCATGAAACACAGTATTCAAAGCTATAGAGCATGGACTTATTATGAGGGGCTCAGAAAAACATAAGAATAAGTACAGTTTTTGCTCTTTTCTAAATAATGTCTCCAAGGTGTAATGAAGTTCAGCAGTATGTAACTCTACTGTTCTATGAATGAACATCCTTTTATTCCCCTAATTTGAATAGGTTTCCTAAAAGAGGTGAATTTTTGGACAAAGGTGAGCTGAAGGAGGCAGTGGCTTAGACTCAGGATTCCAAGTGTCAGATTGTTTTAGTCATAAGGAAAATTCAGTCAGTACTTATGAATATATGAGATGCATTGAACTGAAGTGGGAAAGCTTGAATAAAGACAGATGGAAATGGGAATGAGAAAGATGTGAAATGAAATTTTTTTTTGTAGGAAAGTAAAGAAATTTAAAAATGACAGTCAGACTTGATCTGATGATGATGTTAGAAGCAAAGATAATAATTAGTATAAAGTGCAAGAAGTTAAAGGAGTAAATGTGGTCAACAGATTTTGGCAAGACCGCTTTGGACAGATGGAAGGGGATGAGACCCTGGAAATGAGAAAACCAAAATTAAAAAGATTATAATAATCCATGTATGATCTTGAAGGGCTGGAGAGAACCTTAGAAATCCTCTCTTCAACCCCTTTATTTTATACATGAGAAAACTGAGACTAGAGAAGCAAAGCGATTTGTCCAAGGTTGCAAAATGCTTTAGTGTGGTATCTTAGGTATATAGACAAAGAAATGGGTTTTTCTTAGTTTATGAGAAGAGTAAGACATTTTAGGTAATATAATGATTTTACATAAGTACGAACTAGAGAACATCATTAAACGTGAACATTTCCATATACAAAGAAGTCCAGAAATTGAGGATTATATATGAAATTGTGAATCTATTATATATTGCTTATTTTTTTTAAGTATATTAAATTTAATGCGATAGTGCCATTATTGCCTGGTTTTCCATATCCTCTTCTGAACTTTATTTTGTTCTTTTCCATATTTTTTTTTTGGGCGAGGCAGTGGGGTGAAGTGACTTGCCCAGGGTCACACAGCTACTAAGTGTCAAGTGTCTGAGGCCAAATTGGAATTCAGGTCCTACTGAATCCGGGGCCAGTGCTCTATCCACTGTGCCATCTAGCTGCCCCCTCTTCCGTATGTTTTTAAATGATTCATTGACAAGTTTTTGGAAATACTTTTTAATCATGTTTGGAAAACTGGGTGCGAAGGACTTCAGATTAAAAAATATGCTGGGTATTTTGCAATTCTTAGGTCTGGTCATTGTACAGTGTTAATTTTGGCATCTTGCTAAAAATGAAACCTTTGAAGTAGAAACTACAAAGGGCATCCTGAAGAAATGAATATGCTAATCAAAACCATAGGAACAGATGATATAGTTCACACAAGTGTAATATAGGGGAAAATAGCATAAGATCCATTGACCAAGGTAGGAGTTTTATCACTCCAAAATCAATCTGTGCTGACTCCAAGTGTACTTGAAGGCAATAGATTACCAGGATTGTGCTTCCATACCTGTCTTATACAGAAGCCTATTTTACTATACTTTTGACCCCTTTTCTTTACAGTCTAGAATCCTCACAGACTTGAATTCTGTAAAAGAGCTCATCAGAGACTTCCTAAGCCTTAAACCATAAGCAGAGACTTCAGAGGCTGTTCTTTACTTAGGATCATTCCCATAGCTCTTGGGGCTGTTACAACTTTTGAAAGAGCTAAAAATAAACCGTTTCATAAGCAAGATATCTAAGATAAATCTTCCTCCCCAGATCTAGGCTATGCTCCCCTGGCTAGCCTTGCACTAGAATGCACTTGTTCTTATAACATAGATCAGGCTAGATTAAAAGCCTAAGAATTAATTCTGTTGAATATATAAAAAAAAAAATAAAGCTAGAGAGAGCTGAGTGATCGTATGTAATTAGGTGATGTTCTCAAGGATGAAATTTGTAGAGTAGGAATAAGTTAACTGTAAAAATTGAATTAATTTTTTGATGGTTTATTTTTTAGAATGGGAGAGATCTGAATATGTTGAAATATAGAAAAGAAGGGGTCAAAACTTTTGGAAAGCTCCTTTGCTCTTTCAGGAAGTGAATAGTTCATTACCTAGTTAATATTGAAAAACAAAATTTGGTTTTCTGGACTATTGTTTATGCTGCCAGAATGATGGGTTCCTGACAAGGGCTGGAGTCTATTTAATGAGAACTGGGAAAAGCATGTTTGACAGAAGACTCACTGACCTGGTCAAAAGAACTTTAAATAAAAATTGGGGAGAGAGGCAGAAAAAAATGTTAAGAAAAAATTGTTACATTAGATAATACCAGAGGGCACCAGGTGTGACAGTGAAAGAACAGTAGTAGAGGAGTTAGCCAGTTTAATTCACAGGAGAAAATAGCAGGAAAGAGAATTGAGACTGATGCTTAGAGCTCCATATTAATGCATTTGTTGTTATTCGGTTGTTTCAGTCATGTCCAACTCTTCATGACACCATTTGGGTTTTTTTGGGAGGGGCAAAAATACTGAAATGGTTTGCTGTGTCCTTCTCCAGCTCATTTTAGAGATGATGAAGCTGAGGCAAACAGGGTTAAGTGATTTACCTAGGGTCACACAGCTAGTAAGTGTCTGAGGCCAGACTTGAGCTCAGGAAGTGGAGTCTTCCTGACTCCAGGCCCAGCACTCTATCCACTGTGCCACCTAGCTGCCCTATATTAATGTGTAGTATGGAGATAATCTGTATCTATATATATCTATAAATATGTAGACATATGGATCTATCTATCAATAATTGAGGAACAATGAAAGAATATACTTTGGTAAGGAGCATATATAATATAAAGACAAATGTATAATACTGACTGTCAAGAAGACCTGTGTGGAAATCTACTAACCTGAGGGTAGAACCCTAGTTGTCAATCGTTAGGTGAGAATAGAGAGGAACAGAAGGGACGTTTTTGTGGATGTGACCTGTATTGCTCCCTTGACTTCAACATTTACATGGAGGGTATTTACAATATTTTTCTAATATATAATACAAGTACAAAGGAAGTATTTAGTGATAGGAGACTTCAGTTATCCCAACAATTGCTGGACATCTCAGTCTGCTAAAACCACTTCTGTAATACAGTGTTGACTTTCCTTGCTAACAGTTTTGTTTTACCAAAAAAAAAAAAAATTAGGAATTCATAAGGGAAACTATACTTTGGACCTAATTTTAAAAATCATGGGAAATAGTAGCTGTGCCATCTAATGTATGAAGCCATTGAGAATTTGGGGCATAGTAAAATGATCTTAAAATCATACATTTAGAGTTGAGAGGGCCTTTAATGGAACATACATGGAGTCATAAATTTAGAATGGGAAAGGACCTTAGAGGTTCAACCCCTTCGTTTTATAGGTAAGGAAATTGAAGCTCATAGACATGAAGTTATTTGTTGAAGGTGACACAGGTACTAGACTAGTATTTGACCCAGACAGGATTTGAATGTAGTTCACTTAACTTTAAATGCGGCCTAGACTTCAGGAAATTGGATTTCAGAATTTGCAAAGAAAAGATATGATCCCAGTGGTGGCGGCTATAGTAGGGGAATGTGTTCCAAAGAGGTGAGAAGTTCTCAAATAAATTCTGTCACAAAAAAATCCAAAGAGAAAGCTGAGGGGAAGGAATCTAATGAAACCCGTGTGGCTGCTCAGAACACTCTTTGATGAACACAGAGATGGAAGGAACTTTCACAAAATGGTTTTTGTGAAAGGAGGACACATATCACAGGACTGATTAAACATGGCACAAGCCTGTGAGAAGAGACTCTGGAAGGCTAAATCCAGAACACGTCGAGGCTTACACCTCGGAAATTCCAAGGACAATTAAAGGGGCTTTAAGAGCTATGCTCAGAAGGAGCAAAACAAATAAGAACGGGATAGACCTGTGGTTTGGGGCAGATGGGATGATGTTAACAGGTGGCAGAGAAAGCAGAGCTGCTTAACTCCCATTTTGCTTCTGTCTTCTATATTAAGGATAATGATCTGCAAACTGGAAAGATAGAACAGACATGATTAAGAAGAAGTTGAAGCTCAAGATAGGTGAGGATATAGTAAGAGAGCACCTAGCTGCCTTAAGTGATTCTCCAAGCTCAGGCGAATCACATCCCAAGAAACTGAAAGAGGACTGGCAGATGTGATTGTGGAACCATTATCAGAAATCTTTGAGGAATCACGGACACTGGAGGAAGTGCCAAAAGACTGGAGGTGGGTGAACGTTGTCTAGATATTCAAAATTTGGGAAAGGATGAATTCTAGAAACTAGACTGCTGAACTTGACAGTGATCCCTGGCAAAGTTCTAGAATGGATTATTAAACAGAAGGTTCATAACCATGTAGAAAAGGAAAATAATGATCATTAGGAATTTGTATTGTCAGGGCCAGAGTATCATAAAATTTAGAGTGAGAGGGGCCTTCAGCGGAAACATGTTCCAAATTTCTCATTTTATAAATGAAGGAACTGAGACCCAGAAAGTGAAGTGATTTGCCTAAGATTACACATAATAAGTAACTCAGGCCAATTAACCTCATTTTATTTTTTTGTTAGAATTAATTGTCTAATAAATTGAGACTACTGTGGAAGTGGTGTATCTTGAGTTCATCACTACATTTGACCAACTTTCTCAAGATATTCTTATCCACAAGTTTAAGAAGTATGAGCTGGAGGGGCTGCTAAGTAGCTCAGTGGGTAGGTAGAGCAGCGGGCCTGGAATCAGGAGGACTTGAGCTCAAATCCAGCCTCAGACACTTATTAGCTGTGTGACTCTGGGCAAGTCACTTAACCCCAGTTGCCCCCTCAAAAAAAAAAAAGAAAAAAGAAATATGAGCTGGATAATAAAAGTTCATTTAAGTGGTTGAAAAACTATTCAAATAGTGTTTGTTAATTGATCTGAGTCATTTTTGAGAGAAAATGAGAGATATCTCTTAATGACATTCTCTGAAACTGTATGTGACCTTCTGCTGTCCAGCATGGATTCATAGATTGTTAGAGCTTACAGGGACCTTTGGTATCATCTTGTACCACCACGTGATTTTATGGATGAGGAAATTAAGTCACAGAAAGGTTGAATGTCTTTGTCTAAGGTCATATAGCAAATTCTAGAGTAGCTGGGATGGTGACCCAGGTTTCCTCACTCGTAGTCTCTTGCTCTTTGCACTACATGTACCATGTTGACTCCCTAACATTTTTTATTTGTGACTTGGATAAAGAAACAGAAAGCATGCTATTCAAATTTGCCAGACACAGAATTGAGAGGAGTTACTAATTTGTTAGATAAAACACAATCAGGATTCAAAGGATCACAACACATCTTTTAAAAATCACATTAAATAAATGTATAGTTTTGTTCTTAGGTTCAGAAGATCAGCTACATGGCTATAGGTTGGAATAGATCTGATTTACAGCAATTCTTTTTTTTTAAACCTGGCAATTTTAGGTGACTTAATGAGGCTATGAGTTAGTAATGTGACATGGATATAAAAATAGTTCATAGTCTTTTTATTGGTACAGAGAACTAACTGCCTGTGAGAAAACTTCCTCTACCAATGCAGATCAGCAACTGATTTGCAATTTATAGTCTGAGACACCTTCTGAAGCACTGAATGGTCAGACAACCATGATGTATTTGAGATAGGACTTGAATGCAGTTTTTCCTGACTTGGAGCTGGCTCCCTTAACCTCCTACCCCTCTCACCCCCCATTTTGGGCTGCATTAAAAAAATGGTATCATGGCTGGCATGACCGCATATGGTATTGTTTAGTCATGGGAACCACATTATAAAAGGAAGATTGACAAGCTGTCCCATGAGCTATTTAGGACTGCAGGATAATGAGTGGAGGGCTCTCTATACCACCAGCAGCTTGGGAACTGTATTTTTCCATAATCTAGAGGAAGGTGGTCAGAGTGATAAAGAGTATAGAAACCACTGGGATTTGATCCTAGATCCCTAACTCTAAATTAAGCAGTCTTTCCACTGACCAACCTGCCCCAGCCCCATTGAGGAAAGGAATGGAAAAAATTACAATACTAAGTAGCCTTTTTTTCTTAACATTTTGCTAAGTTTAAAATCACAAGATTACAGCAGCCAGGTGATTTTTAGGAAATGGAATTCTGGGCCTGGAGTCAGGAAGACCTCATAAATTTGGCCTCAAATTTGACCTCAGACACTTACTAGCTATGTGACCCAGGGCAAATTGCTTAACCTCTGGTTGCCTCTGTTTCCTCATCTGTAAAACAGGGTTAATAATAGGAGTTCTACCCCCCAGAGTTGTCATGAGGATCAGACGAGATAATATTTGTAAAGCACTTTGCAAACCTTGAAAGTGCTATGTAAATGCTAGCTGTGGTTATTAGTTGAGCTAATTCATTAAAACTCAGCAAGTCATTTCATTGAAACAGTGAATCAAATTGATTATCAATCATTGTGTAGACCAGCATTTCCCAAAATGTTTTCTGTAGTATCCTTGTGTTTCACTCTATATGAATAGGTTTGTGAGAGAATTTCAGTGTTGCAGTATTTTCTTCTCTAAAATATTAAATATGATATTATGTAGTTATACTTTCCAATTTCAGCAGAACCATTATCTTATCAATGAGGCAACTTCCCCAGTGGCTACAGATTACAACCTGTTCGTGCTTTTTCATACTGTGTAACATTGTCCATGTTTTCCCACAGGCCTTCCATAGATTAAATTATTTATGTATCAAGAATATTTTTTACATGTAGTAATTTTTCGTTTTGAAAGTAAGCATAGTTTCTTCTATTTTGGTCCAAAATTTCCTTGATTCCTTTATCTTTGCAGTATGCTATTCCCACCTCACATTCCCACAAATCAATAATTTTGCAGCCTTTCAGTATATTTCAGGGCCCAAAATGTGCCATGATCCAGTTAATTTCCATTCTTCTGCAAGCAAACCACAGTTGTTTGAAGGAATCTCTTCTCAGTTGATCAAATTGGTAGTGTTCAGATGTAGTTTGAATTTTCATGCAATAAATTGTAAAATTCAGATTATCCATATGATAAAACACAAAAAGATATTTTATATCAGGTGCTCATAAAATTGAAATACAATTGATGTTAGAGTTTTTGCCAAAAGTTTGGGCTAGTGAATAGAACAGCTGCCAGCTCTTCAGTGTTGCAGCCATTTTTCTTCAAGTGCACAGGCCACTTTAAGGAAAGTTCTGGGAATTACCTAAGAGCAAAAACCCAGAAATACCAGAAGAATGCCAGGGTATGGTTTCTGAGTATTGCCAGGATCATGCTATTGGAAGGGCTATTAGCCAGGGCCAGCTTTTTAGGGAAGAGGGCCTAGTTGGGGCTTCCGTTCTATTAAACTGACCAAAATTTTAGGTGATTGAATTTTTTTTTTTTTTTTTTTTTTTGGTAAGGCAGTTGGGGGTTAAGTGACTTGCCCAGAGTCACACAGCTAGTATGTGTCAAGTGTTTGGTCTGAGGCCGGATTTGAACTCAGGTCCTCCTGACTTCAGGCCCGGTGCATCACCTAACTGCCCCGGTGATTGAATTTTTCAAGCCTGTTGAGAACCATCCTCTTGAGTATAATACAAAGGGCAGTAGTCAAACAGTAGAATCCAGGTTATGTTGATGATGTCGAATGTATCAGTCTGCCCCTTTGTCTCTGGATGTGTTTACACTTATGGAAATCCCAGTGGAACCTTTTCAGCTGGTTTTACTGCCTCTTTAGTTATTACTGCTAACAAAAACCAAATGCCTGAGATTTCAATATTTATTTAAAATTCAGGAGATATAGTTGGCAGTCTTTTAAAAATATGGATTATGATATGGATTTTTTCTTCTTTCCATTTTGTATAGAATCTTATACTCTTAAGATTACTACTAGTGCTTTGTAGGGACTAAAGTCCCAGTCATTTTGTGCCCTAATGTTGGTTATCTTAGTATTTACCCTTAAGTTTTTGACTCTTACTATTCATGTAGCAAGGAGGGCCTTAACTCATAAATTGAGTAGCAGGAATAAATATTTAAAAAAAAAGTCCCAAAAATGTCATCAAGACTAAGGTTGTGGCTTCCTGTATGACCAACATTTTGGTGCTCTCATACTCTCTTTAGCAGAACTTATAATGTACATCCTGTTAGATTACATAGCTTTCCCTTTCTCCCTCTTATAGAATGCTCTATAGTTAGATCTGTTCATAAATTCTTGAATTACTATGAGCAAAGTGGCAGATCCTTTGCTGGATCATCTACCATCCTAAGTGAATATGGCTCCTCTAATCCTGGGCCTCTTCCTTCTCTAAACTTTCACTGTGGGTTATCTGGTTATCTCATTAACTTTCATGGGTTCAATATCTGCATGAGTTTGTGCAAATATCTCCCAAATTTACATAGATAAATAGATATAGGTATATTTCTCTGTATATACGTATCTAGCTGTAATCTGTCTCCTGAGCTCCATTTCAGCATTGCCAACTACCTATTGAACATGGAATATTCAATTTCCTTGGAATATTTTTTCAATGCATCAATCTCACTATGTCCACAAACTTATCTTTTCCCCCAAACCCATTTTTCAACCAAACTTTCAATTTTCCACTTCCATTATTTCCTTCCATTTACCCAGGTTCACAACTTCAAAGTTACGTTGACTTTTCTCATTGCTTCACTATTGTTTCCATTTCAGTTACCGAGTCTTGTCAGCTCTATCTCTGAAATCAGTCCCATGTCCCAGAGCCGCTGTCCTACATCACGCCTTTATCATCTATTATATTAGCCTCTTAATTGAATTGTTGGCTTTCTAGTCCCTTCCTTCTCTATCCATCTTCGAAATTAATCCAACAGCTAAAAGAATATTCCTAAAACACTAGACTTACCATGGCACTTTCCTGCTTAAAACTCTCCGGTGACTCTCCCTATAGAAAACCTTTGGGCGAGCATTTAAAGCCTACCGCAATTTGGACCCCACCTACCTTTCTAGACATTTTGTGTTCCTCACATTCACCCACTCTACCTTCTAGCCAAACTGGCCAACCAGTTTTATTTGTTTTTGTATAGAGGCTTAGTTCCATCTATTTTACTCCTTGGTTTTTCTGATCCGCCCACCCCTTTATTCTCACAGGTGTATGTCATTTCTATCACACCCACCCTTGGGACCAGTATTTTGGGGTTCTGGCAGTCTAGTTCAAAGCCCAGAGTAGTATTCTGAGGCTGATTTATTAATTTGGGAAATTCT